ACAGACCCACGCACATGGTGAAATAAAATGAAAATCGATTTTCACTTTAACGACTTCACACATAACAGAGAGAGAGAGAGAGAGAGAGAGAGGGGGCCGTTGGAGGGAGAGAAGTTGGTAAGAAAAAGTATTGCAAAGGCCTCGATGAAACCACAAACGGAGCCAAAACAATGAACAAGAAAAACCAGAAATCATCGTCAATGCAATAGGAAAAGGTAACCCCAGACGCCAGACCATACCATACCACACATATATAGAAGGGGGTAGGTGGGTTAAGAACTGTGCCTGTATGGTGTGCCTTCTACGTACTACTCGGGTCTGCTCTGGACGCCTTTTGCCGTTTTGTATGTGTGTGTGTGCTTGACCACTTCCTGTATTTGTGCATGAATTGGAGCGTAATGTGACATTTCATGTGTCTGCTTTGGGGCGCAAAAACAGAAGAAAAAAAAAATAGAAAAAACCATTTTTGTTTTTACCAGCAGCAGCAGTAGCAGTAGCAGTCCACAGCAGAAGAAATTGTTGACTCTTGTGCAACATTTCGTATGCGCAATAAAGTGAATTATGCCACTGCAGATGAGCAAATGTAGAGATCCGTAATTGAAGACCCAGATCGGGTACAGTTTTTAAATTATACGGCCAACCATAAAGATAATTGATATATTCGAAACAACTTTAAAGACCAGTAAAATATCATAAAACAAAATGCGATTGCCTTGCTTTTGCCATACCGGCCATAAACAAATTGAAATGTGCATTGCAATGTCCATCCAGAGATTCCCAGCGTCCGACTTGATGTGAGTTTACGGCCAGGAATGGCAGGGGAAATGGAAACTGTTGCTTGTCATGAAATATGAGAATGTGCCGCAGCGCAGTCCTAGGCTGGCTGGCTGGCTGACTGTCCTGCCATATCCATTACTCAATCGAAATGAAAGCCAGAAAACAGGACAGTCCTGGGGTGTCTTTGCACCCATAAATTTGTATACGATTCTTCTTTTTTTATGGTGTGTATTTCAAAGAAATAATTCACCCAAGAAATGATATGCTAAATATTGAAACTGCTTGATGATGGCATAAAATGTTTTCAGATGATGATTGAGAGTGTTCTTTTTACGCGCCCTAAAAAAAATGGTATTCTCTATTAGGTTAGAGGGTAGCAAATGCTCCTAGAGAAGCTTATTTTTGAGCTGCATATCTGCACAGCTTTTTGGCCTCAAAAGTTTAGTTTTCACTGTGATAATTTTCCATTCGTTCACTAATAAACACATCCCATTAAAATTGCTAGAAAATAAACCTTAAAGACCCTGACACTCCTGGCAAAATAATTATTCAAGCAAAGCCACATTTGCAAATTGGAAATGTCAATCCTTGGGTGGCACTAGCACATTTGGAGGCACTATAATTGAACTAATTTGTAGCCTGAAATGGAAACACGCTGCCAGAAGTGTTGCAACATAAATTAATGATTTGTTAGTCAGATGAAAATTATCATTTAAATTATCATCTACAGCAGCAGGACGACAAAGCAAATGCAATCATCATTTGGACTGAGAAAATATGCAATTGAAATTTTCAACAGCAAACCAAAGACATTGCTTGATTAGATATTTCTCGAATGCAGATACAAATGCAAAGACAAACAAATGACTTGGACAGACATCCTATGCTCTTGAGGACTCCTCAGGATTTAGGTATCTCTCAGTGTCCGTTGGCTTCTTTGCTTTTGGTTGCCGTTCGCCCGTTTTTGTGTTGATTTAGTGCTTATGCAAATTTAATATGTGTTCGGAACTATGGTTGCTACCCTGTCTACCAGTTCCCTCATATCATTTGCATAGACTTACATTATTGTTGCATTATAAGCCAGACAAGGCTCCTCCCTTCCAACACCATAGATATAGAGCCACAGACACACGCACACATACACATATTTATCTTTTATGACCGCTCGCCAGCTGCAGTTTTAGTTGTTCTTCTTTTTTACACGGTATTCGAAGAGTTGATGGGATAGTTGTAAATGTGTGTGTAGCAGCGAATTTAATTTCTAAAATATTTACCATCACCGGCACTAAAGTTGATATTGATATTTGAACACAATTCTGAAGTAACAAAATTGTATTGAATTCCTTGAATTAAATTGACTTCCAAATCTTGTTGTATCTACAATTGGAATAATGCAGACAGGGCTTTTATCTTCCCAGCAACCAAATTTCATGCCCGAATTTAATGCCAAAAATCTGTGCTATCTCCAGTACTCAGAGAAAACTCTGAAGTAACTTTCCTTCAGTAGATATGCTATAGATGATGTCCTTAGAACGTTTGAACTAAAAAGAATATTATCTAAGAAATTAACAGAGTTCATTACGTTTGGATAATTATCACAGTCAGAACGAAGATAATAGAGTAAAACATAAACAGGTTTTCTTTGGAAATATATGTCTGGCTCAACTATTATTATTATGTGTGTATCTTAAAACTTTGATATCTTTTTTAGCTCATTATCAGAGATACTTCCCCCATAGCAGGTATCCCCAAGTCGCAATGCCTTCTCTTCTTATTAGTTTTATGGCTGGATGTCCGTCTGTGTATACACGAGCACTAAGTATTTCTATAATTTATGTGCTCGAGTGATAAATAGTTGGCCCTCTCAATGGCATCCACCCTGTCTGGCATCCCTGTTGATGCAATTTTGCGCATTAAATTAAGGAGCTTCTCTTTTGTTTTTTGGTGGGGCATTAATTTTGGGCAGAGAGCAAAGACATTTCCACGCCGACGTTTTTTTTTTTGACACTTTTGTTTCGACACTTTGAAGTGTTTTGCCTTTTTCTTCTACTCAGGAAGAAACTTGCTACAGACCCAGACACAGACACTTCAGAGAGATAGGCGAAACGAGGAAACTTTTGCCCAGAACAGGAGGGCGATGGAGAGGGAACAAACTTTAAGCATATTTCTCGCCAACTTGTTGCCAAAAGAGTTTTCTCCCCCCCCCAAGAAGGTGGATGGAAGATGCCAGAAAGCAAACTAAAAGGCGGGGCAATGCCGGGGCAAATAAATTTTACCCAAAGTTCGGCCAAACAAAATATTTCGCTGGCAATAAATTTGCAAAGAACACAAAAGACGAGAGGGAGAGAGAGCGGAAGAGGGAGACACATACGTGAATGATATCATACGCAGCGCATTGCAGTTGCAGTTGCAGTTGCAGTTTTGGGATGAGCAACTAAAACATTCACCATGGGGCGTCTGTGTGCCTCTCTCCCCCACAAACACACACACACACAAACATACAAAAGAGCAGATACTTGTCGTCGTTTGGCTGGCTGTCTGTCCGCTTGTCAGTTGCTTTGCCTTTTGGCAAAACACTGACTCTGACTCGGAGTTTTGGAAATGGAACTGTGACTGTGACTGCGACTGCAACTGAAGCGGCGGAGACCAAGTCAACGTCTCTGCAAGTTGTTGAGCAGAAAATTGAAAAGTATTTTCAAGCATTTGTTGCCATTGTTGGCCTGTCAAACTAGATATCCTCCAGCTGTGCAGATTACTCTATTCAATATTGGGCATAACCAACATGAACGGTGGCTAAAATCAGAACAGAATCTGGCTTTCATTTTACCGAGAAGTTATGGAAAATTATGCTTGGGATTGGTTGAAGTCACAGCAAGATAAACAATGAGAATATTATTGGTATGGTTTGGAAGTATGGAAGTTAAGACAATAGATAGGCAAATTTTTCATTAAATGAAACTAATAAAATAATGCCACTAATGCCACTTTACAGTAGCCTAATGACACGTTAGTTATACGAAGAGTGTGCGGTTTTCTCTTCCTTAAATATAAATCAATGAAATTCTGATATATGGGAATTTATGATATAAGTTCTAGCATTGTAATTATCGTTATTTAGGACTGATCAGTAAGGTCTCTATTCTTTTTTGAATGGCACTAAACTGCCAGCTGATCGAAAAATATTTATTCTTCTTCTGTAAATAATTACTAAAGGCATCGCTGGAAAGCCTTTCTTATTCCTAAGCCCTGAGCCAATAATCTCATAAAGAAAGAGCATGCAATTGCAGCTATTTCTCCCATTTATATTCCGCACTTGTTTTCGCTTTTACTCTGTTTCACTTTATATACGGAGAGTTTTGAAAGACAGCAACAAATTTTAGCCATGTGCCACACACAAGGACACACACACACACAGACACTCGCGCACACACTCCAAACAGAATCTGCAATGTGTATTTGTATTTGTGGATATCCTTTTGAATTGTTTAGATTGCTTACAACCAAATCAGCACTTGTAGGTTGCGTTTTGATTGCCATTGATGCTTTTTTTTTTTGAGGGAATAAAACCAATATCGAGGGGGGGGATAGAACATAGACAGATAGATAGATAGATAGATGGATTGATGGATTGGTTGAAGAGTAAAATAGCGAAATTTCCATTGGTAAATGCATAATGAAAGGTCATTCAGTTGCATGCAAAATCTGCTGAAGGATACCCACAGAACTGCAAACGAAAGGAGAGTCCAAAAGGGTTATCCGGGGATTTGAAAGAGAATTTATTGCAACGAAAATTCGAAAATGTAAACAAACTTCATTCCCTTTTGGTTATTAATTAAAATAGTTTGTGTGTGTGTGTGTGTGTTGAATGGAAACCAGTTTTTCTTTCAATTTTTTCTTAAGCCACAAACAGAAATTTCTTCGCAGAAAAAAAAATAGTCAACATTCAGCATTGAAATAGAAACAAAAAAGTAAAGCAATTAAATGCCATAAATAAACCACAAAATAATAACAATTATTCTTGCGGGCAGGGCAGGTCGGAGCCGGTCAAAAATAATTAAACCTCAAAACAAAATATCAAATAAATTGAGGCCATAAATAAATTAATTCCATTTCAGTTTATACAATAGAATAATGGCATGTACTCGTATTTATTTCCATAATTAAAATGGTGTGAGCGAAATTTATACATGCTTTCAATTTGTGTTTGTTTCCTTCGTACACAGGAACCCAGTGCGAGGAGAATGTCGATGAATGCATGTCGAATCCGTGCCAGAATGGCGGACAATGTCGGGACCGGACTAATGGCTATATATGCACCTGCCAGCCTGGCTATCTGGGGGATCATTGTGAACTGGATGTGGCCGTCTGCGATACGGGTAAGTCGTCACAAAAGCCTCGAATGTCTATAGGAAAATATGCCGAAGAGGGGACGACTCGACTCTTTCAACATTTTTCTTTTCTTTCATGTTCCAGGAACTGGTGCACGTTGCCAGCATGGTGGCGAATGCATTGAAGGACCTGGCCTCGAGTTCACCTGCGAATGTCCTGCTGGCTGGCATGGACGCATCTGTCAGGAGGAGATCAACGAATGTGAATCGTCGCCGTGCCAGAATGGCGGCGTTTGTGTCGACAAATTGGCGGCCTATGCCTGTGCCTGTCCCATGGGCTATACGGGCATCAACTGCGAGGAGGAGATACTCATCTGTGCGGACAATCCCTGCCAGAACAATGCCCTCTGCCTCATGGAGGAGGGCATCCCGACCTGCTACTGTGTGCCCGACTATCATGGCGAGAAGTGCGAGTATCAGTACGATGAGTGCCAGCTGGGGCCGCGCTGCATGAACGGTGGCGTCTGCATCGATGGCGTAGATACCTTCTCCTGCTCCTGCCCCCCACTGCTGACGGGCATGCTCTGCGAGTGTCTGATGGTGGGTGAGGAGTCCTTGGACTGCAATTACACTGCACCAGCCACCCAGGCCACACCCACACGTGCCACGACCACAACATCCACGCTGGCACCGCCCACGGTGCGGCCTGTCACGCCGCCGGAGACGACCCTTGCCCCGCAACTGCCCGAAGAGCCCGTGGAGCCGCCTGTGGGCGCAACCACCGAAGCGGCGGCCGCCTCTTCCGAGGAGGTTTCAGTGGAGATTAAACCACTGACAATGGCACCACCCGAGAGCGGCAGTCACAGTGTGTCTGTGGAGCAAACCACAGTGGGTCCAGAGGTGCCCGAACCACAGCCAGAACCCCCCCAACCAGGCACTACCGCAGCTCCTGGGGTCAGTGCTGCTGGCTCTTCGGGTTCTTCCTCGGAGGAAACACCCAGCATCTACACCACTCTGCCACCGCTGCCACGCACCACATCTGCCTCGGCAGAAGCCTCTGGCGAGGTTGTCACATCCGAAGAGTTCACCACGGTACCCCGCTTCGAGGTGAGTGGCAGTGGCAGCGAAGAAGCCACCACATTGCGTCCCACTGCACCACCCAGCATCACCCAGGCTGTGGACTATGCCACATCCTCCTCCGTCTCCTCCTCCTCCTCTTCGAGCTCGGAGTCTGCCGAACAGCAGCCCATGGCCACCACCCCGGCGTCGATCTTCGTGCAGCGTGTGACGACCATCGAGACGAGCATCTCTGTGGATTATGGCAGTGCCACGCCCACACCAACGCCCTACTATCCACAGTTGGAGACAACTACAACGCGAGTGGTGCCTGTGCCCAGGCCCACCTTTGCCACAGAGCCACCACTGGAGCTGGAGGAGACCACCTCTACGCATCACCTCTGGACAGAGGTGCCCACCACAGCGGCTCCGTTCTTCACGGAATATCCAGCCGAGGTGCTGATAACCACCCACAGGACGAGCGCAGGCAGATTCACAACAGTCCAACCACCACCACGTGGCACGACAATCTCCGGCTCCCCAGAGGAATACGAAACATCGTCCATAGAGCTATCCACGGTGCACACGCCCCACATAGTGGTGACCATTCTGGACAGCAATGCCAGCATTCCACAGCTGATTACAACAACGGCAGTGCCGCCCACCACGCATCATCACCATCATCATCACGAGCACGAGACGACAGTTGAGCCGGGCGAGACCGTCAGCACGCTGCCCACATCCATCGAGGAGGATGAGCACCAGCATCACCATCATTATCATCCCCAGCACACGCCGCATGTGGTTGTTACCACGCCCATGCCGGTGGAGATTACCACGGGAGTGGCCATGCAGACAGAGGATCTGATTGGAGTGCAACAGCCTGCACCAGAGACTACAGTGGAGCCGTACATACCGCCAGAGACAACAATGCCGCCGCCTGTGCCATCTGTGCCGCTCACTACGCTAAGACCTTTGCCTCTGCCCACGCTGAGACCTACACCAACGGAACCAACCACTGCGGCTCCCACAATGCCTCCCACTGCAGCTCCCACTCTGCCGCCTGCTACGCTGCCACCCCCTACGATTCCACCTACGCCGCCATCCACACAATCCGCACAAACACTGCCGCCACCCACGCAGCACGCAGTCTACAGCACGCCCGAAGGGCCGCCGGCACAGACGAGGCAGCCCGTCGTCACAGAGAGCAGCGAGGAGGTCGAGGGCTCGAACACAGTGGCCAGTGGAGGACGACCGGGTGCCAGTGGTGTGCCCGAGGAGAAGGCCGGAGATGTGGACTGCATCAAGTTGGGCTGCTACAATGGCGGCACCTGCGTAACCACGTCGGAGGGTTCCAGGGTAAGTAAAACCAATTGAATCCACTTAGACCTCCGCCCGACTCCGACTCTGACTTCGACTTGGGAGTAGGTCAATCGATAGCAACACTTGGCGCCTCCAACGGAGTCGTTCGATTTGTTTGTTCGATGCGGAGAAACACACAAACAAACAAACACCCAAAAAGGGGCGTACGTATCGAAGGAGCAGTCAACTTCACAATTTTCAGCCCCATTGAGTTGCTAATTGGCCATGGAGTTTGGAGCTTTGGAGTTTGGAGGCTACACCGTTTGCCAGGCCCCACCTCTGTCTATTAATAACTCATTAAATATGCCAGTCTAGGGCTGCCCGAATTGCCCAGGCAATAGGTAAACAGGGCAGGCAGGGGACAAGCAAGGGAATCAACGGGGAGTCGATTAAAGGAGTACCCTAAAAAGTTAGCGAATTCATTGATCATTTTAATGGGGATATACGGAAATTTATATGTCTATAGATCAACTACTCCCATAGATGATGGCTCGATAATGATTAGCTCGAGACGCACAAGCGAATGGTTTAAAAGAGAACCCCCTATAATTGACAAAACAGAAACATCAATCATAGACAATCTAAATATATATCCCAGCAAACTAAAGGGGTATCTAGCTGATCTATACCCTCCTTCTACCTTTAAATCCTTAACAACGACAACAAGTCAGTTGCTATGCTCAATCTCTGGTGCATTTCTGGCTACAATTCCGAGTCTATGCAAATTGAGGAACTTTAATCAAAACCCTTTAATGGGATAAATTAGAAGCAGCAGCACTCACACCCACCACAAGCAGAAGCTGCACGAGCAGCAACTAAATTTGCAAATTGACAACTTGAAATGGCCCCACAGATGCCCAGGTGCACACGACTTCAGATCCAGAGAGATACAGCAGGTAGAGGATACGTATAGAGCGTAGTGCACAGATGTGGCCGGGTCATTCATACATAAATAATCAGTCATGTGGATGGGAAACGTGGGCACGGCACGGTGGGGGTCTGATATACACTGATTTGCAGCAGGACCTTCCCAGTATGTAGTTTGGGCCCAATGCTCAAACAATGAAAATTTACTAGCCATTCTTGTTAGATGTGCTTTAGTTTTGTAATTTGTAAAGTTATTAGGGCAGTTAATAATACAACTTATTGTTGAGAGTTTTGTCATTAATGCATTATGCAACACTAGAACCTATGGACCACTTCTGGAGCTCAAACTCTTTAGAAAGTTTTGTGTCAAGAAAAGTTCAAAGCAATTTTGTAATTATAAAAGATTCACGAAGAACTAAAGAAACTAAGTTGGGAAACATTTTTAAATATTCTGAAAATAATTCAATGCTTTGCAACACTATTTTGGGAGCCATTTAACCATTAAAACCAGTACAGACGCCTTACATAAAACTTAACCAATCAGAAATGTTTAATATTTTACGAAAGAGTACATTTTGGTTATCCTTTTGTGCTTCTGAAACCTTTTAAATAAATTAAACAGCATAAATATATTAAACCTTTTTATAAAATTACACAACACTTCGTATATTTACGAAAACGTTTCAAATCATTAAAAAGCACTTTAACCCATCATAATTTATTTTTATCAAATGAATTTCAATACCAATTTATATAAATCTTACCCATAAAATCACTCTGATAGCATTTCATTTTATATCAGCAGTCTTAAATCAATAGCCAACCCTCTAAACTCCATCCCATCCATCATACTGCTCTTAAAATAGTTAAGCCCTCTACATATTCATAAATATCAAATTCAACTGGCAATCAAAATTCATAGAAACACACAAAACCCTATACCTTTCATGCATTAGTTTCCCGAACAATTGCATTTCTCAGAACTTGAATCAAAAATCACTTTGAAACAAGTATTTCTGGCACATTTCCGGGGAAAACTTCTGCGCCCTCCCGCCCCCCATTCAACAGCAGCCCAATCTGTCTGCTCTTGCTCGTATTTTCAGGCAATTCCCTGTACCCCTTCACGGCATGTGAATTCTCAGAAAATGCCAATTGCTCTTATAAATGAATAGTTAAAAACTTTTTGGAAATACTCGTTCTCGTACTCGTACTCGTATTCGCACACGTAACAGTAGCATTAACAACAGACACAAAATATCAGGTAGAAAATCAGACACAAAATAGCAACAAAATGTTCACTTCGAAACCACAAAAAGCGTTCCCCAGAGTTGCGCTCCAAACAATAGAAGCCAGGCAGCCAGCAGGCCAGGTTCTGTATGCCAAAGTATGCCTATTCAACTATTTATGAAAATACTTGCGGTAATTTTACCCCCAAAAAAAGAGACACAAAATATGACCTGATGAGAGCGAGGGGGAGGAGTATCGAATTTTCCTGGCCAACTCTGGGGCCATTAAATGTGGCAGGCAGGCAGGCAGACCCAAAATATGGACAGTCCCCAGCGTAACACGCAACAAAATTTCGAATGACTACTAATAACTGGTAAATCGGAAAATTGTGCACAAAGCAATGGCATGCATGATTCCCATAGGGGTATATGTATAGTGGGCCATGGGGGGGTGGTAATTTGCTATTGTTTTCGGTTTCATATTTCCTGAAATTTTCTGCTGTACAGCAATTTCACCCTAGTCGAACACTGACTAAAGGAAAGTGTACATACGCGGATTGGAATACATTGTTTGTGCATGGCAGGCAGCCGGCTGACAGTTTTGCTTAACTACCAGAAATATTAATTGCAAGAGGGTTTGCGTGTACTAAAAAAAGGATTCTAAATTGATTTTAAATGAAATTTAACCTTTTTTTATGTGTTACACAAGACTGTTCTGCAGATCAGCGATTTTTTAAAATAATAAATAATAAAAAATTATTTTTCAATATTTTAAATCAGTTTTAATTGTAGTTTCCAGATATGAAGTTCAGGTTACATTCATTAAAAGTATCTTCTTCTACATAAAGTTCAAGCCATATTAAACCATTTTCTGGCATTAAACAGCACTCGTTCAAGGTTACTCCTTACTCTAATATTTATATACAAAAATTGAGACCATCCCCAACGCTGTTCCCTGCCATTAAATAACTTAACACCCATATACCGATAATTGTAGCCCAGCACGCTACACCTCATTCATAAACCATTTCATGACCATGAAGGTCAACGGATATTGCAGTATCTGGATGACCACAAGCGACCAGCGTAGTCTATTAGAGCCACCCCACGCATATGGCCGCACATATGTCAGAGAGCCAAAGAGGGCTCCCCAACCGTTAGCCAAATTAGCAACAGCACCGCATGCAATTCCAGTTTTTTACGACCGAAACGTGAGCCCTGCCGATAGGAGAGTCGCCGACGCAGGGCTAATTTATACGTACAATTCACTCGAAAGAGAGAAGGGCTGAGGGGCAGGCAGCAGCATGACGAATTGGGGTCGCCCTCGAGGGACAGCGATAGGTGGCATAGGTGCAGTCACACTTTCACACTTGATGATGGCCATAGGATGGATGGAAATTTGTATAAGGATTTATTTTGTGCGAGGTAAAAGCTGCCTTTGTACAGAAAATTTCTTTAAATTTCCGTGGGGCATTCGAAGGGTCTGGCAGCACTGTTACAGTTACTGTTACTTACAGTCGCTTGCCAGCACTCTTCAAACTTACCCAACACTATCAAAACAGCGGAAATTGCACTCAAACAGCGTGTGCTTGCCACATAACGCATGTTATTTTAAAACTTTATAAATTACATCTCCTTTCTTTGTATTTCTACAAGACAGCTGTTGCAACTTTTTACCAACACTCCAGACACTTAACCAACACTAATGCCAACTTATTTATGGCAGAGAGTACCCGCTGTTCCCACCCCCTCCCAGTTAATGAGTTAACAAAGCCAACTGGCAATTTATTTCGAAAGTTGTTGCCAACACGCGTAGATCTCCAAAGTGTACCTATGAATCATGCACCACACAGCAACTAACACAGATAAAACCCAGCCACGCACACCCATGCACATAGACTCATACACGGAGAGAGCCTGCGAGAGAGAGAGAGTCGTTTGGCCACATGCTAACAAGAAAAAAATTAAATTTTCATAATAAATTTAAGGCTTGAGTGAGTGACACAGCACCGCAGGATGACTTTGTTAGGGCATGACAGGACGCCCACAAGCAGGCTTAGAACCAAACAGGATGCAGGAGAAGTCCTCCTATTTTTCTGTATACTCAACTTAACTTTTAACACGCTTCGACATGACCTAATATAATTAAAAAATAATTAATATAATTTCAGTTATTAAGATATAAAATTTAAAAAGAATAGAGACTTTAAATTTTGTTTTTAAAAAATAAGAGCCACGCTACTGCGTACTCTTGTGGGTATAGCTTACAGATCGCAACTTTATACACCCCAGTCTTCGAATTATAATGAAGACAAAACCGTTACTTAGCCAGAGTTATATAGGGATATAATCATCTAATTGTTAACAAAGAAATGACAGAGAATTATTAACAGAGAAATGTGAAAACATATTAGACTACAATTTGCAGGGCTATCTTTATTTTCCTAACTTTATCCTGAGAAAGCAGAAGGGCTCCTAAAAGACTGAGCAAAAAGATGGGTGATAAATAGAAATCTGTAAACCTGAAGTAGGAGGATCATTGAACACTTTATTCTTAGCGTTTCAAACATCCTATCAAAATTGTAGTACCCGCTTTTAGGGTACAATAAAGTAAAAGTGACACAGAGAAAGAGACAGAGCGTGAGTGAGCTAGGGACATAAGAGTCTGCTGCAAGTGGGCGAAAATTATTTCATAGAGCATATGCCACTTTATTGTTGCCAAGTAATTTAACTAACTGCTCAAACACACACATACACAAAGTCATAAGAGCACACACACACACAGAAGACAAAGCTTTTGTTAATTTTGAGAGATTCTCTCGTTTTTTCTACACACCACCTAGCACTCCCCACTCTTTTCATTTGTATAAAGAGACAAAAAAAAGAGAAAAGAGAGACAGACCGGGCAGGAAAGACAGACACTTACATATGTCAGCTGTCATATTGGTTAAGCAAGTGTGCGTTATGAGTGTGGGGGGGAGGCATTCTCCAAAAGAGCGAGGGAGAGGAAATAAGCCAAGGAGGAGAGAGATAGCGAGAGAGAGGGCAACGGGGTACACAGGGGTGAGGCTATGCTGCGTGTGGCACACGGAGAAGTGCAGGCAAAGTGGCACTCGCACTGGCACTCGGCGAAAGTCACTCGTAAAGTGGCATTAAGCACATTTCAAGTGCTACCCCGCCGAGTTTTTGGTTTTCGGAAAATGTTTTTCCTGGCTTTTCCCAACCAATCCTCCGCCTCCCCTTTCTCCTTCTGCTCTTTCATACCGCTGCTCTGTGTCTACTGTCTGCATTGCGTTTGCTTTTGCCGCACACCGCCAATGCCACTAATGAAAATTTTGTTGAGCCCTTTTAGGCGCCTCTGCCACTGCCGCTGCTGCCACATATCTCCCCGTCCTTAATGCGTCCTGAGCTTGTCAGTATCAGGCCTCTACATCCTCTTTCAGCTCCTGCAATGGCCTTTATGAAGAGTGCACTTCACTCACATTCAGACCATTCCAGGCATTTGCCCGTTGACATTTCAAAAAGCGTGTTACAATTAATTTCCATCTGGCCGAAACGCAATGAAACCGAATCAACAGGAAACACACACAAACAGAGGGTCATACTGGGCAGTGAGAATATTTGAGTAGGATTATGCCATGAAATTGATGGGGTTGAAGGGAATCTCTGAGAATAATATAGGTTTTTTCTGGCTCTGAATCAACACTGACTGAATTTAACTTTAAATTAAAGCCAGCAGCTAAGATACGTACACTCGAAAACTTAAAATAAAAAAACCCAGCTACTTAAAGAACGTTTAATAATAAATTAATGCTGCAAACACAAGTCAGATCTGAGTCTTGGAATTCTGCACTTAATATTAATAAAAATAAATGCAACAAAAATAAAAAAATTAATTAAAAGAAAATACGAAAATGTTTCCTTTTATACACTTCACAAATTTTAACTTCTTTCATTCACTTTCAGTTTAATTTTAAAAAAAAATGCATTGAATAGCTAAACGTTTTATATTCATACATTCCCCTGATTACATTTTAAATAAATTCTCAGAAATTTCCATATGTTTAAGGACCCAAAAAAAAACAAAGCCCCGGCACATCATTTCCGTTTGCCTCAGCCTCCGATTCTATTTTTTCCACACCCCTTCCTCATCAGCATTTAAATCTAAAGTCTGCCACATGTTTGCCCCTGACTACCCATTTTCATTTCTGTTATTTTTATAAATTTTTGCTGGTTCAGTTTGGTTTTGGTGTTTGGGCCAACATTCATTATGCGCCAAGCGAATGCCGCAAGGTCAAAAGCTTTAATTAAAATGTTTCCTGTTAGCAGGGCACATGCGCTCGCCAGAGTACGTAATAGTATTCCCACGCACATCAGTGCAGAGAGCCAACACACAAAAACAACACTGAAAAGTGCCGACAAAAAAATGTTGTGTGAAAACTAAATGCAGCCCCGGCGGGGAGCCCTCGATACGCACTCCTCTCAGCCTTTCTCTTTCCTTTTGGTTAGCCCACACGAACACAGCTTCATTTGGCTAACAAGAGTGCGAATTTTCGTAGAAAAGGCTCAACAAAAAAATGGGAACAAACTTCCAGCAAACACTTCAAATAATTGTTATGAAGCAGCGCTGAGCGGCTAAAAAAATGTACAAAAAAAAAAACGCTTTCTATATATATTTTCAAGGACAAAAATATTATGAAGAAAAAGGTTTGGGAGCAAGGGATGCAGCTAAAATAACGAAAAACAAAAAGCACTCCCAAAAGTATGCTACGAAAATACAAGAAAGAAGGGAAAACTAAGGAAAGCGAAGGTTCAAATACTCTGCCAGTAGTATGATTTTAATGAAAATAAAAGCCATATGGTTTAATCAGAATTTTATCTCTGGTCCATGCATATTCCAAGTTTAATGTTGATCCAAAATATATCGGCATATTTAGTTTTAAGTACCTTCTTCTGCCTTCTTTGCATTGCTGAAATTTTTTCAAAATTATAATACCCTCTCGCAGGGTACAATGATTGTTTTCCATCGTACAATGTAGTTCAAATCATGACCTGCTTGCTGATGATGATGCTGATGTACAACATCCTACTCGTCTCAGCAGGCGCTGGTTTTAATGTTTTTCCGGGAAAAACATAGCTACACAACAACAACAACAAAACCAAAGCAAGCCAAACAAAAGCCGTCTGAGCTGCGGAAATTTGTTGCCGTGATAGGGTTAAGAAAGAGAGAGAGAGAGAGAGAGAGAGGAGGATGATGAGGATGCGGTGTCTAAGCAGTTAAGTAATATTATGCGATGAATCCTTTAACGCTGGTTGGGAATTTCCGTTGTACTCCTTAGGGGGGGAGTGGAGAAGGTCATTAGTAATGCGTGTCGGGTTGAAAATATAAAAAAATATGAATAATGTTTTCACAGCAGGTTGAGAAATTGTTTTTATAATTATATTGTATACATTTTAGTTGTACGTGGCGTGGGGTCATGCAAAAATAAGGAAAATAAACGCTTTTAGTGGTGTTTAAATATTAAATTAATATCAGTTTCTTAGATTTAAATTTGATTAAATTTGTATACATATTTTGTATCCTGTACTTAATGAAACGTTCTTAAACCAGCACTTTTTATATTTTTTAAAACTTTTCCTTATTTTGGAAGGAAATTTGGAATGAAAATTAACAGAATTTCCTTGGTAAAAATATTATCAAAGAGAGAAGCAAAAATCATAAAAGTATTATCGATAATCGTTCCAAAACATTACCTTTCTTGAACTGATTGCTCGTTTAAGTTAAACAACACAAATAACCCGCAAAAACAGCCTGAAACTGATTCTCGCTCAAGAAAAACAGAGACCCGCCCGAAGACAAAGACCAGCGAAAACTTTGCAACATTTTCTTCACCTGTTCAAGAACCTCTTGCAAGCAAGACCAACCAAGACCCCTTGAGCAACCCCCAACATATGGCCAAGTTCACATTAAGAGGATGTCTTTTAGAGGGGCAGGGACCCACAAGTGGGAGGAGACTCCTGGGCATGTAATCTGCGTGACTGTTGCGTTGCTACCTACACTTCGCCGGATTCCCACTCGCCTTGCACTTCATTTGCTCAATTTGATGGGGAGTGGAGTGGGGATGCCGGTACCCCCAAGGAGCAAAAGGACACACGCTAAAGAAAATTACAACAAAAGTTTTTCGGGACAGCCGCGTCCCAGCCAAGTGCGTGGCTCCTTTTCCTTTCCATTGTCCTGCCTGTCCGCTGTTGCAGTTGTTCCTTCCACCAGCGTCCTGGCTGGCTGCACTTTAAGTATCCCTTGGCGGCGGCATAAATTATTAAAACCAGGACAAAAGGAAGGAAAGGGAAGACGGAGAGTCAGAAAGTTAATTCATATTACTTTTCAATTTATTGGCATTTTTCGGAACGGTCTCCTTATTGAAAGGACACCAGAAGGCGATCGAACGAAGCGAAGAAGGAGTTGCAAAAATTAAATTAAAATTGTTCAAGTTTTGTTTCAGCTATTGACTACCAAGGAGGGGAGAAGGTAATTTGTTGGAGTTTTCAGAGGATTTTGAAGATATATGTTTAGGGAAGAAAAATGGCAGGTTTGGAGGTGGAATATATATGAATTCCTGCAATTGTTTCGGTCATTTATTTCTACATGATGTATTAGTTGATTTTTTAACAAAAACACTGAACAAAGGAAATACTTTTAAACTTTTGAAAGATTAAGTTTATTCTAAAATAGTCAAGAGATTATTTATATATATAAATAATCTGTTTATTTATCATTTCAGCATATTTAAAAAATAGATACCCATTTACAATCTGAAAAAAACGTAAAAATATTCCAAATTTATTAGAAGTTATAGAATCTTTTACTCGTATATTAAACATTTTTTTTCGAAAGCTTTTTTATTAATATTTAAGAAATTTTAGAACCTTTCTGTCATTTTCTTACCATATTGGCAGACAAATAGAAGGAGCTTCAAAATATTCTTAAGCTATTCCAGAATATGAAAAAAGCTTCTGGCAATCGTAAATCCCTTGAAGTTTATTTTCTTTAGTACAAAATATATACCAATTTGTGTACCTAATTTGTGATCCAATCTTATAATCCGTTTCAATCTCTTTGCAGTGCGTTTGTCGATTTGATCGCCAGGGCCCGCTCTGTGAGCTGCCCATCGTCATACGGAATGCAGCATTTTCCGGCGACTCGTATGTGTCGCATCGCATCTACAAGGACATTGGACAGCACGAGGCTCTGGATGCCGTGCTGCCCATGCACATCCAGCTGAAGGTGCGAACAAGAGCCACTAATGGACTGATCATGCTGGCCGCCGCCCAGGGCACAAAGGGTGGACACTACATGGCGTTGTTCCTCCAAAAGGGACTGATGCAGTTTCAGTTCTCGTGCGGATTGCAGACGATGCTGCTGAGTGAGCTGGAAACGCCGGTGAATACGGGCCACGAAATTACCATTCGAGCTGAGTAAGTGCAAAATGGACGAAGGGTACCACGGAATGCAATTATGTGTGGCCCCTCCTCTCGGGTCACGCCCTCCACTTGACGGGGTGATTGGTGCATGGATAGGGGAATGGGTGTGGGTGGTGGGTGGTGGGAGCACGGACACACGACTGTTGGCATGTTAATTAACTTTTTAAACTGCGACCCCAGAGCCCAGGAGGTCAGCATATGGGTCACTGTCAGTGGAGGCAAAACGTGGGACTGCCCGTCGGCCATTAAACTTGGCCCGTGTCGAATTCCATTCGCCATTTGGTCGAGGCCACAAATTATAATGCTTCAAGTGTAGAATAAATTGCAGTTTTTTTTTAGGTTTTCTTCTCTTTCTCTCTCCATCCTACCATTTCCGGTCACCCATTTCCTTGAACATTAAATCCTGCGGGGCTTCCACTTGCCATCCATGCGTAATTAGTTTGTAGATTTTCCATCCTCTTGGCCCCGCCCTTCCTTCGTTATTTTTTTTGTATTATACGTTGGTTAAAAATTAAATTTTCTGCCCACTAGGAAAATTCCAGACCTCTGGGCAGGCACTCTGCCGGGACTCGTGCGTAATTAATCGTTGAACTAACAATTTCCATCGACCAAAGCCAACACTTTGGCTAATTTTAGGTTTAAAAGTTGTACTAATATTTTCCCCATGGCATTCGTAATGGAAAAATAAACTTTTTGGGCAAACTTTTAAAATGAAATTAGCAATGGATTTGGAAGGGCATGGTTATGTTTGGAGTAGAGTATAAGCTAATTTGAAGCCTTACAAATAAATGTGGGAATGTTTTGTCTATAAAAAATGTTAGTGAAAAATTGCAGTTAGAATCTTGTTATAATATTATTACTTTATTACTATTGTTATTGATATTTTGTACAGAACAGCAGGATTCATATATATTTTTACAATTTAAATGAATAACAGATTAGCAGATAGCAGGTTCACTTTCCTCTACCACCTTTTGTACTGCCTCTGGGCCTGCACCAATAAAAAATTCTTCCATGTAATGCCCAACCAATTTTCATAAATTACCCATTATGTCCCCCTCCACAACCTGTTGATTTAATAGTTCTTTCAATACTCTTTAAATATTCAAACGTTCCTAGCACTTACAGTGCTCATCAAATTATCAGCTAATCAAACACTCAATGCTGTTGCATCGACCTTGTTAGCAATTCAACTGTGTGGCAATTACTTAAAAATGGAATGGCCATCACAACGATGGACAAACGCATATGGAAAATGACCAAATAATCGTTTTAGACAAATAAAATTGAACAGAGGGCCCGGCCCCAATGGAAAACAGAAATGAAGCCAACCGAAGCGAATCAGGCAAATGAAATCCCACAACGAATCAAGTATAGTCGAAAAACATTGGCATAAACAGGACATTAAGGGCATCAAATATATCAAAATGTAGGACAAAACAGTAGAAAGAGAGTGGGAGAGTGGTAGACAGAGTGAAAGAGAAACCAATATAAATAATTTACCAAAAGAGAAAAGAGGGAAAAGAGCAAGCGGTATTCCATTGCCGTTCACAGTTTTACGACTATCGAATCGACCACAAATTTACTTTTTAGCACTTGGTCCCCAGCTCGGGGCTATCCAATGTCCAATGGTGCGAGCTTCGTATATATATACATGCATATACTATATATATATATGTACATGTTGTAGGCATATATATTTCATTCCTTACGTTTAATACCGTAGGAGAAGGGTATTCTAACTTAAGGTAAATGAATGAAATGTGGAGAAATTGGAGAATTGTACACCCTACAATGTACCTTTTTTATATTTTGTATCATCCTCTTGATTCAGTGGCTCGCTAAGCTATTCCTGGGTAAACTAGTAATATCCTCAAACCATATTCTCTAGATAACGTTCTCTAGAGAACGGATAAAAAACATAGAAATATGATTCGTATGACGTTCAGTTTGTGGCATAAGACAAGTCGTCTTTGTTCGGATTTGATAATAATAAATGAAACTTGTATATTTAATTTATCAAATGAATTCTTTTCCCGTAAGTGTTTAAAAATGGATTCAAAATTAAATACTTTACTGAATATTCAGCGGATTTTGATTGAATTTCGCTTAAACGATTCGCTTAATTTTAATTCCTGCGGAGCTCTGATAAGAACTATATATTCTTAAGAGTATCACGTATTTCGACTCCTAAATCTCAACTTTCTTGCCTGTTTTCGGCTCTTGTTTTGGTGTTCTGTTTTTTTTTTTTTTTGGGTCTGGGCAAGTGAATTTACGAGCAACAAATTTATGTACGTTGCCTATTTTTATTTGCCTTGCGTGCTTAATCGCCCGAGCATCGGGTAGCAGCACAAGGGACTCCCTGAGTCGCCCTGGGCCACTCGATGATGATGATGATGACGATGTGATGGTGATGGTGATGGTTTTGGCGGACAAGGCAATGGAATGGAAGCTTTGTGTGGCCATCGATGAACCATAGTTCTTGCGCGCTCTCTCTCTGCTCTGTGGATGTATCCTTTGGGAGGCGCCTGCTGGTCCATGCCCACTCTAGGCCTCTAATGAGGCTAATGCCCTATACAATTGACATTTTTACTTAAGGCCCTTCATCGAACTGGTGTTGCGCACAATTAGTGTAATTAGAAAGCAATAACAATTACCGTTCGTCGAGCCTAATTGCGGCTCAGGATGCCCCCACCCCACCCCATTCACCATCCATTCCCATCCCCATGAGCTTTTGAAGAAACAGGAATTTCCTTTTAATTATTACAAATTTGCCTAATTCAATTCCCGAAAGTTAAGTTCATTAACGAAAATGATTTGTGTTTTCTTTTTGGAGAAGTTTAACAACTAAAAACTTTATCCCACAACATTCAATTGAGCGTGTCAATTATTTATGTCCAAGGACTCCAAGCGGGCGAAGAGTGGGAATGGCTCTCCGAAATTTGTAAACAATGCTAATTTAATTTGTTGCTCAGTCAAATGCAGCTAATTGAACTTTAAATAACATTGTGAAGGAAGTTCGGCTGTTTGGGTTTTGTTCATTCGGATCGTTAACGAAACTATAAAATGAGTGCAGCAAATTGCTAATTACTTTGCATAAATCAATGATTTAATGGATGAGGCATTTTAAATGGATTTCAAACTGGGTTATGGAAGTGCATTAAATTATTGATGTTTTTTGGATATGCATTAGGCATGGTATATTCAGACTAATTCCATTAAAACATTACGCCTTTAAGCAACGATCTAAACGTGACAAAAAAATGTTTCATTATAAATTTCACATTCAGAATTAAATTTAAAGTGTAATACAATTATTAAGCCAGACATCATTCAGTGCATGACAAGAATCTATTTATTTTACATATTTTATATAAAACAAATCACACCAATGGAAAGTGTTCTTCTCAAAATATTACGCATACTATATTATTTATACAACTGAGTAAAAAAAGTGTCATTGCAGAATACACATCAAGTGATACTTTAATCAGTATAAAACTGAATTCGAAACCGAACTTTTCCAATCTTTAAAACAAACCCAATCCGGTGCCCGTCTATCAAAACGAAAACAAACAAATTTCAACAAATTTCCCAGAAACAATATCATTCCATCCGATTATTTCGTTGGAAAAGGTAAAAGAAATCAACAAAACATACGAGCACGAGTACGAGTACGGAGAGTACTCCAAACAATCCAATATGTTATAAAAACTAAATGCAATCAGGGAAAACTTTTTTCATGCACGTATGGTAACTTTTTTACAGCATTTGTCCGCCTGCTATAAAATAACAATAAAAATCGGTGTCCTTTTTTCACGCATTTATTGCACTGGCTTTTTGCTGTGTTAAAATATCTTCATTCAAATGCAATAAACGCCAAGATATGGATCCCAGTTCGTCCATCTCCAAACCAAACATCCCCAAAAAAAAAAAAAGATTTAAAAAAATCCGCCTGACAACAAAAAAAATCAGACACACTTTGATAAAGGCGTATGTATGTCCTCACAATAAAGGACATTCAAATAAAAGCAGGTGACACTCGGCCATGAGGTGCAATAAAAACCAAGGGACCCTCTGGTATTCCACCTCGATGTCACATCAAAGGTTTGAGGGACAAAAAATGCCGTACCAAAAAAAAATACAAGAAGGCGCTGGTTAAATTTGACAGTCGATTGACATTATAGGGAATTGTTATTGGACAAGGGACAGTACAATGGGGCTGATGGAAAATTATAAAAAAAAAGTCCAGCTAGGAATTGGAAGATATGTGTGTATGTATGGATAATTATTTGATTTCTCAGTAAAACAAAATTTAATTTAATAAATTTAAATTAATTTAACAAGTGTTAAAACGTTCCTACAGGCTTAGATAATTTTTATCCAGACTTAATGCATAGCTAATAGTTCTATTGGAATACATTTTGTTCGGAAAAATTCGTCTCCCCTTGGTTCTCCTTAAGAATAAAAACCTTCAACTTATTCACATTTTTAACTTTAAAATAAAGCGACTCAAAATAATTTAAGTAAAATTCGTAGAAAAATAAAACGGTCTGAAATGATCACAAAACCTTTATAAAAACTACCTGAAACCAACCAAAAAAATGTAAAAAATATTTACCAAAATATGCATGTGACATTATTGAAATAGTTAAAGAACCAGCCACAAAGGGAGCCACCTTGCACCTTGCACCTTACGCCCCTCTTACTGACACAATTTCCTGCCAAATCTTAAACCACTGTAGTACCTTCGATGAAGTTTCCAGCGCGAAAGGTCAACAGGCAAAAGGTAACCAAACAACAGCCGGGTGGATAACTGAAAGCGGGGAATGGAACCCTTTTAGCCATGGGTTGGGTTGGGTGTGGGGGTCCTGGGATATTGTGGTGTCATAAATATTTGCACGCATCGGCATGTTGGGAATTTTGCTTTAAAAGTCTACCGTTCCATCCTCAAACAGAATCCAGTGAAAAGCCAAACCCACCCACACTCTCTCACACACAGCCACAGAGAATCCAGAATCCAGAGAAAAGTCACACACAGAGAGAATGAGGGCGTACCGTGCGGCATATTAAATATTTGATGCAACACCAAGGGGCACACAAAAAAAAAAACAAAAAAAGAAAATGAGAACTAAAAGAACTAAAAAGAACTTTTCCGAATACCTCTTTACAGATTGGACTTTAGCCGGAATTACACACACTGCAATGCCTCGCTGCTGGTGAACGACACATTGGCCATGTCCGGGGATCAGCCGACGTGGCTGAAACTACTGCCCCAGCGACTGCATACACCGGAGGCGATACTGAACACATGGCTGCACTTGGGCGGGGCACCCCAAGCGCCGATTGGCCTGATTATCGAGTTGCCGCCAGCACAAAGCGGCACCGGCTTCACCGGGTGTCTCCACACGTTGCGCATTAACGGACAAGGGCGCGAAATATTCGGGTAAGTACTCGTACTCCATCGATACATATCGCTTTAGCTGCCGCTTTTTGCCATACCCTGTTAAGCAGAGGAGTGTAAGCGAGGGTGTATTGATTTTGTGTGGAGATATGTTGCAGGTGAACAAATTTCCTTTTCCTTCTAAATTCTTTGATTTCAGCATTCAATTTAAGACTTTTCTTCTTGAGGTTCGAATTTTTTTCTCAATAAAATGAAAAAGAAATTAGTTGTGGTTTCCACAATTTCTAAGTTGGAGAGTTTATTTTTCACAGAGTTGTATATGAAGCTATTATCTAGCTATATACACAAAATCATTACGATCGTGTAACTCTAACAGCCAAAGACACGAAAATATGTATGATATATTTTATTGTCATAAATTAAATTCTCTTCAGCGACATTGCTAACACTTTTCCTATTAATTGGAGAACGTTGATTAGATAATTTCAGAATTTTTAGACAAAATTTCAACAATTTTGCCACTCATTGACAAAACAAAATATAGCCCCATTGCCAGGTATTCCATAGTCTGAACCATTAATCACGATATTCTCTGTGCTTGGTTTGTGTATTGCCCTTTGGGCACTTTGAATGCTGGACTACGGCTAATGAACATCTCTGCCCAAAAAAGTTACGACTTTTCTGTGGCGGATGGCCGATACGGGCGGCACTGATGTGAGGCTGTGAGGCATCTCTCTTAAATGTTTATGCCGCTTACACTGGCCGTACCCCCGTGCCAGTGCCTGAAGGCAGTATGAAAAAGCAGAGCTGTTGGGAATAAAATGAAACCATTTGATGGCCAAAAACACACACACATACAAAGTTGCCAGGTGCTGAAAGCCGTTGCTTTCATGGTAGCGTTGCAGTAAAAGACCCAGATTATATGGCCACTGAACGCAAAGAACTTTTTTGTGTGGTACTATATCCATGAAAAAATTAGCTCGACTTGCGTGAAGGGATAAAGCTGAGAATGGTAGCACGAGTCATATATGCGATAGGCATTAATAAAGTTGATATGGTTGCGGGGAAGAGAGCTTGAGCAAAAGACTTATATGTATGCATTAGGATATGTTTCAGAGTAGAAGGAATGTAATTTATTTATGTAGAATTTTTTAGTAGTAATTCAAGGTGCACAAGAGCAAAGTGTCCGAGAATGCAAAAACAAAATACACAGAGGGCCTTCTCTGCAAAATTGTACTGTAGATAATGCTTTTGATCTTTGATAAGTCTAAGAATAAACTCTTGCATTAAATAAGACCCAAAGAAATGAACATTCAAAGATCTATGTAAATGAATGAGTATAAATACGTATCATATGTTAAATTGATTCAATGAAAAAGTCCCTAAATCTTTATCACTTCAAATTATCAAACTATTAAAGTCGCAACATCAAGTTAGCCTCTCCTAACATCTCTTAATTGTCCCATTTATTTCATGGTTCAACTTTTTTCTTAAAGAAATTCCTGAATCACCAACGAAATGGCCAATGCTAAAAGCTTATACATTATGTACTCGTACTCCTTTGGCAAGTTTTGCACTGAAAAGAGTTGTGCCTGTCAGTGAAAATGAAAATGCAGCAAAAACTTGATGAAAAGGACAGGCGCTGAGAGCTGCAGCGAGTAGGGGGGGGACGAATGCGGAAGCCATTCGTCAGCATTCAACGTTCATAAAAGCGCGAATGCAAACAGATGGGCACCCCAAATGGGGGGGGTCACACTTTCTGCTAGTGTCATAGTGTCCTTGTTCAATGTGCTGACAGCTGTGGGGCTGTTTGTCAATTGGCACCAACAAGGACGACGACACACGACGCGTCCCATAATATTGACACATCGAATTAGACTTGATGAAATTAGCGCACGACACCTGTAAAAGCATTTTTTTTGTTTCTTTTTTGTCCCACTCTCAATAGCGATGCCCTTGATGGCTTTGGCATTACGGAATGCGGCTCTTTGGCCTGCCTATCGAGTCCCTGTCGCAATGGTGCCGCCTGCATTAAGATCGAAACGAATGATCTGGACGAGAATGGCGAGAAGGCAGAGAAATGGAAATGTAAATGTCCGACAGGCTATATGGGACCCACCTGTGAGATATCCGTGTGCGAGGATAATCCCTGCCAATATGGTGGCACGTGTGTACAGTTTCCGGGCAGTGGGTATCTGTGTCTGTGTCCTTTGGGCAAACATGGACACTACTGCGAGCATAGTAAGTAAAACGCGGTTGCCTTTCTTCCTGCCTAGAAATACCCTTAATCCCACGCTTGCTCCTCGTGTTTGCAGATCTCGAAGTGGCGCTACCCTCATTCTCTGGCAGCGTTAATGGTTTGTCCTCTTTTGTGGCCTACACCGTGCCCATTCCCTTGGAGTATTCCCTAGAGCTGAGCTTCAAGATTTTGCCCCAGACCATGTCACAGATCTCGCTGCTGGCATTCCTCGGCCAATCGGGCTATCACGATGAGAAGAGCGATCATCTGGCCGTGAGCTTCATACAGGGTTACATTATGTTGACCTGGAATCTGGGCGCCGGACCACGTCGCATTTTCACCCAGAAACCCATCGATTTTCGGCTGGATGCTCCGCGAGTGCCCTACGAAATAAAAGTGGGTCGCATTGGGCGGCAGGCGTGGCTTTCGGTCGATGGAAAGTTCAACATTACAGGACGTTCACCGGGCAGCGTTAGTCGCATGGAGGTGCTGCCCATACTCTATTTGGGTGGTCATGAAATTGCCAACTTTAATACCCTGCCACACGATCTGCCGCTGCATTCGGGCTTCCAGGGCTGCATCTACGATGTCCAGCTGAAGGCTGGCGCTGTGACAGTGCCCCTGCAGGAGACACGTGGCGTTCGTGGTCGTGGAGTCGGACAATGTGGCACCAGGGAGTGCCATCGACATGCCTGCCAGCATGATGGCGCCTGTTTGCAGCATGGAGCAACCTTTACGTGAGTTTAACGCGGCAAGAATTGTACCCCAAATGGAGCTTGAATCGCCAATTTTATTTTTTTGTAGTTGCATCTGCCAGGAGGGCTGGTATGGTCCATTGTGTGCACAGCCCACGAATCCCTGTGATTCGTTCAACAATAAATGCTACGAGGATGCCACTTGTGTGCCTCTGGTGAATGGCTACGAATGCGATTGTCCTGTGGGTCGCACGGGCAAGAATTGTGAAGAGGGTAAGGAAAGGGAGTCTTTACACAATGCAACAATCGGTATCGGTATATAATCCCATTTCTTCCTCTCAGTTATACGCTCCCTCAGCGATGTCTCACTCACCGGCAGACGCTCTTACTTGGCCGTTCGCTGGCCCTATCTGTACGATGGCGGCGACAAACTGGGCGCCAAGCGTTCCCAAATGGTTAGCTATCGAAATTTCACCAAGAAATTGATGCCCCCCAAACCCATCTCGACGCCCAGCACACACTTTGTGATGAAGCTGCTCAACGAAGTGGAGAAGCAGCGCAGCTTCTCGCCCGTGCCCCTGATGGGTTCCAAGACCTTCGAGGAGATTCATCGCGTGCAGTTCTTCTTCATTGAGTTCCAGCTGCGTCCGCTTTCGGAGCGCGGATTGCTCTTGTATTTTGGTACACTAAACAACAACCAGGACAAGAAAATTGGCTTCGTTTCGCTCTCACTGCAGGGCGGGGTGGTGGAATTCCGCATTTCGGGACCCAGCACTCATGTGACAGTGGTGCGCAGTGTCCGCATGTTGGCCATTGGCGAGTGGCACAAGATCAAAATGGCCCAAAGGGGTCGCTGGCTCACACTCTGGGTGGAGGGCAGTGCCTCCTCGGCATTGGCTCCATCCGCAGAGGTTCTGGTCGAACCTGATTCCCTCCTGTATGTAGGTGGCCTCAAGGATGTGTCCAAGCTGCCGCATAATGCCATCTCGGGCTTCCCCATACCCTTCCGTGGCTGTGTTCGCGGTTTGGTTGTCAGCGGCACAAGAATTGTTCTGAATGAAACCAATATTGTGGGTGAGTATTGGCAGGGGCCCTCGGCCCTCCCCGCCCTTTTGTTTCGATCCATAATTTCTTTATTTTGTGCTCCTACAGAATCTCGTAATATTCGTGACTGCGATGGCACTGCTTGTGGCGGTGATTCCTGCGAATCTGGTGGACACTGCTGGCTGGATGAGAAACTACAGCCCCATTGCATTTGTCCAGAGTATGCCAAGGGCGATCGTTGTGAATATTCCGAATCCTGCAAGCTGATACCCTGCAAAAACAATGGACGTTGCCTGCGCAGTGGTCGCTGTTCGTGTCCCAATGGTTGGGGCGGTTTCTACTGTGAAATTGGTAAGTACTTTCCAATGGCGGGTCATTGAAACCCCAAATATTACACACGAAACATGATCATTGAGTACACTCAGAGAAAAAATCTAGAAAAAAAACTGCAAAATTTATTTAATTAAAATATGAAAATATTCAAAATAAATTCGAAATGTTTTTCTTTTATAAATGAAAAATATTAATAAAAATTAGTCAATTTATATATGAAATATATTTGATCGAAATATGAAAAATATTTAATTTAGATAGGAAATTAAATATATATTTTTAGTATGAGAAATATTTCATTTTAATGTTTAATATTTTTATTTTAAATATGAAAATATTTAATCTACATACTGAACAACTTTCTTTTAAATATGAAGTTATTTAATTTATATATGAAAATATTTTGAATATTTTTTCTCTGGGTTTACATATTAATGATTCATAATCAATTGAGACGGGGGTACACATATATATATTTTAGTTACAGCTCAATAACCGTGACATTAATAGCAATAAATCATCATTAAATCAGGGGAAACGCAAACAAGTTTCATAAATCTTTAAAATTCTCGTAAATGTGTCACGAGTAAAAGTACAGAAGCCGAAAACAAAAAACGATTTTATTTCATTTGTTGATCTCTTTTTTTGTTTTTGGAGTTTTTTATGAGAGGAAACAAGTTTTTTTTGGACTCAGCCGCAGCGAGAGTAGAACAATATTATTATTATAATTAGAGATCTACAACAACAGAATATAACCATTAACAGCAGCAGCATTTGGTTTGATGTCTGGGGATGGTTCAGTGCACAGCGGGGTCAGGAAGTGGCACAGAAATTAGCAATCTGATTCGCAGTCAAACAACAAAAAATAACACTACAATTTCGTATGATAATAGAGTTGGAAAATAATTAAAAATCAGTCATGAGTCATGACTCAAAGTTGAATGCTCCTCGAATTTGATTTGGGTAGATTAGCATATCCATAGTAGGGCGATATCCATAAAACATTATTCAAAACTACATTCTCTTGATTGCTACAAAAAAAGTAATAATATTCGGCAGGTATACTGATATAACAGTATATAATTACTTTGAAAGATCCATCCATATATAGTAGGTTTGCCTAAATCCTAATTCTACATTTGATTTACAAAGCTTTTTAATAACTTTGATAGACAAACAAAATATTCTCCATGACTTTTCCCTGAATTTCCTTCCTTAAAATTCCACACAAATCATCAACAGAGTTTTTAATGAATTTCTCGCACACTTTCCAGTCCAATATCAATCAAGTACATGTCACAGCTGAAATTTTCCAATCAGTAGCTCCACCTGTTTTCCCCCTACCAAACCTCTCAATAATTCAACCTTTTTGATGATCTCTGAAAATCATAATCATTCCCAAGCAAAACATCAATCAAACAATCTACGAATCCAGCTTTTTTGACGATGGGAAATCCCATACGGCTGCCTGTCTGCATCTCCATTTCCAGTGTAGATATTCCACACAGCTGTCTGTTGGCTGTCGGTCGGCCTTTCACTTATTAGCAAATTGTGAATTAACATGCCACAGAGAAACAAGTTGAAATTGAAGTTGAAGTTGAGGAAAATAATATAAAACAAAACGAACAAGTACTACAGAAGAAAGTACGAGAGGGGCAGAGCCGTTGAAGCGGTGTGGCAGAAAGCGAAGTGGAAAATCAGAACTCTAGACAAGATGAGACCAAAAGATTAGGCAAGTCTTCGGTACACTGAGGAAATCTGAGGGATAGTTGAAGATCTTAGAAAAATGATTTTGCAATTATACAAAATAGCATAAAAAAATGGAACGAAAAAGTGAAGAAAATCATTAACCTTGTAGGTACTTTTTAATTGTTTTACGATTTACTTTACTGGAAGACATTGCAACCAAAAGACAGCCTTTTTGTGCCACTAATATGTTAATATTATTTTGAATGACAATTGCTAGGCACATAATCATACTCTTGTCGAGATTTAAGGAAATTCTTGTTGCATTAGGAGAGATAAATACAGATCAAGGCACTCTCCATTTTGGGGACAAGACAACCCATTAAAAATTCTTGACTTTCTGCCAGAAATTGATCTGGCGAGAGATCTCTTTTCTTAGAAGGGGGTACACTAGATCCTACGAGTCGCATTTCTTGAAGCCCTTTAATATTATTATTAATATGACTTTAAGAAAACATTTACAATATTTGGGTAATATTGATATAAAAATAAGTAATCTGGTGTTTCTTAAACTTTATAAAAACATGACATATTTCGAAGATTTGTATCTAAAAGATTTTGCAGTTTTTTTTTGTGTAGAAGATGGCGATGGTAAAATTAGAAACAAACGAGATCATGGTCTACGAGGTCTCGTAAAGAGCTAACTCATTATGAGAAACAAAAGATGGCTATAGGGATGGGAGATGAAGATGTGGATGAAGACGAAGATGGTGTAGATTAAACAATGCAGTTGAAGCTAAAGCTGAGGCGAGGCTGCAGCAAAGACTCTCGACTAAAGCAAAGACTGAAAATTGAATCCGCAGTCGGAGTCGGAGTCTATTACAGATACTGAGAGACTGCAACTGATGCTGTAATTTAATTATGTATCGCATGCAATATGTTTAATGCAATTTCCCCCCCACCCCCTCCTGTCTTCCTCTCTCAGCCATGAGTAAACCAACAACACCAAGCTTCCGTGGCAACAGTTACCTGATCTTGCCGCCACCCCGCATACCCATGAAAGACAAGCGACGCGGACCCTCGCTCTATGTGCGCCCCCGCGAAGCCATTCAAATCAGCCTCAATTTCTCCACCATCGAGCCGGACGGTCTGCTGCTCTGGAGCGAACACGATCGCCGCAAATTCTTGGGCCTGGGCCTGGAGAACGGCCACCTAAAGCTGGCCAGCAATCTCTTAGGCAGCAACAATGACACGGTCCAGGCCCCAGCCAGTGGCTTCATAGCCGATGGCGCCTGGCACTGGACGAGTGTGCTCTTGGATCGCACTCGACTGGAGCTGCAGCTGGATGGAGAGGTGATCTTTACGGAACGTTTGCCGGAGGGCCCCAACCGGCGAGATGATTCAACAACAACGCAGGCCACAGCTTTGTCCAGCAGGCGGAGAGCAGCGGGCAAAGAGCCGACCATTAGCTATGAGGATGTCTTTTATTTGGGTAAGTTCCAGCCATTGGAAACCATAATTTGAATAGAATTTAACACTCACCGGCACTTGATGCACTTGGCAATTGTTTGCTCGTTAGCTTTGACTTAGTTCACACCGAAAAACACAAACAAACGCATTAAAAACCGACGAATGGCTTAAATCCACTTGTTGAGTTGTTGTTTTGTATTTTTGAGCGTGCTTGAGGCTCCATACACTCGGCAACTGATTGTTTGTTAGCTCTGCTTTATATCACAGCGAAAAACATAAACAAACCGACTAGCCTCTACTATCGACGGTTTTGAGACTATCATGATAGTATCGAGCTACAATCGTTGCGCTTTTGATATGTTTGGATTGGCTGCTATAAAATACGAAGACAAATTTGTAAACGACAGATGGCATCTAATTTGTACAAGGGGCAAGTTCCTGAAAGGTTTCAATGGTTTTTTAATAATTATTTGAGCCCGATACTATTACGATAGTATCGATTGTTTTCTTCGAAACATTCAACGTTGATATTCCTCGATTTTGATATTCCGTTCAATATTACTAGCTAGTTGGCCCTCTCAGCCCTAAACAAATAATTTTATCCAATTCCTCAATAAATTTTGTTCAGGATTGGCTAGTTTTCAGAACTCTTTTTTTTTTGGATTGTTTACATAATAAGGTTCAAACAAAAACGAAATGTGACTTTTGAAAAACCACCACGAACAAGTCGAAAAATACCAAGCTGCCAACTTGGGCGCAACAGGTGGCTGTAATCGTTAACAGAGTGATGTTAGTCCCACTATGAATTATGTTAACTGCTAACCGCTAAATTCAAATTAAAAACATATGCTAAATGTATCTTATATTTTCCGTTACAGGCGGATTTCCCAATCTGGATTCGGTGAGCAAACGCACGCTGGGCCGCTACTTTGAGCCCTTCAAGGGCTGCCTGCAGGATATACAGTTTGGATCCGAACCACAGGCCATTATTAGCGATTTCTCGGCGTATCAGGGCGAGAATATTGGCTCTTGTGATCTTCACGGTGATGAGCCGATTGTTGTATAAAAAAAAAAAACGAGTAACAAAATAATCAAAAAACAAAGAAGATTCCAAAATAGGGGGAAATGAGCAAAACTGAAGACGAATTATGAATGAAGAGAAGATAACTACTTTTAAGTTAAGATTTAAGGCAAGAATAAATAGGAAATGGACGATAATGGCGACGACATATTTCCCGGCATCAGTTTTTGGGGCAATAATCGATTAAAGATCGATTAATAAAAAAGACAAGCAAAGGAACGTAATTTTGTAAATTTTATAGAAATAAAAACTGAAAAAACTGAAAAAAAGACAAAAAGTTTAGACTTAAAAAAATCATGAAAATTGAAAAATAATTGAAAGGAAAGAAAACAAAAAACACTTAACTCTCGAGACAAAATTATACAGTTTAGGAACTAAAAACTAACTCTAGTGAATACCGATTACCAGATACAGATATAGAACTTCTCTTACGTAAGTGATATTTCAAATGGAATAATGGATAAAAAAAACACCCAAAAAAACCAATATAATATTTATTTAACTGAATGCATATTCGTTTTTGTTTGTTGATTGAGGATTTGTGTTATGCTGTTGTAACTATAAATTCTATATATATATAGACTATCCAGATTATGTGTTCTTCTTTCCATTCGATACACTCAAAACACTATCTACGAAAACTGCCCTATTTTTCTACCATTTTTCATTTGTTCAATTTTAAAATGAATTTTATCTAATATTAATACAATATTATTGTTTTCCCTGTTATCTGTATACGTTATATAGCATAAAGCTCTCTCCCGATTGAAGCCATTTAGTTGCCTTGTAGTAAGTTAGTGTATAATCTCTGTCTCTCTATAAACTATGATTTATCGTAAAGAACTAACTCAAAACAAACAAAAAAAAAGAAGCCCATAACGGCTAAGTCTATAGTTATGAAAAGTCATACAATATAATTATTCTTATATATGGAAAAACCAAGTAGCAAGAAACCAAAAAAAACCCTTATACATATATAAATATATACAATACGATATACAATACATGAAAAAATATATTGGTAAATTGTAACCAAAAAACGCAGTACATTAAGTATGTATTTATTTCGAGAGACAACTTAACCAGTTATAATTTTAAATTAAAAATAAAAACAAGAAAAACGGAAATAGAAAAAGTTAATAAACCACAAAAAGATTTGAGAACATTTTTTTATTGGTGGGATTTCTCTAAATAAAAAAGAAAAACTAAACTAATACCTAAGATCAAATAATATACTAAATATTAATAAAATAAAATAAAATTATAAATAATTAAAAAAATTCTTATAAATATTTCAGCTTTATTTTCCAAGATTTTTCTGTTACAAATACCAAGAAGATCGGTTTATCCCTTCGAAACAGCTACAGATTTCTGCTTTTTTCATATCCAAAGCTGAACAGCAAAACATTAGAGGGATCAAAATATTAGTATTATGTGTAATCCCGAATGATATATACCGATAAAAACTAACCCACGTCTAGAAAACATTTGCTTATGTTCAGATTTGTAACAGATGAAGTCTCCCAAAAGATTCAATGGTGGTTACAACTCGCTGATCCGTAATGTCAGCTTTATGTCCTACTAAAGCTATGACTATTCTGGGCTTACAGTGCTGAAAGTTCTCATTATTTAGAGAATTATTCATCTTTAGAGTTAGGATTGTATTTTACCTTTGCTTTGAGTTCGACAGCCCACTCTTTCGCAGCCTCATAGCTCTTTCGATTGTGTATGTCGTACACAAGCAAAGCGCCTTGAACGTTTGTATGATGTCTTAGTAAAATGTCCTTGAAACTAAATCAATCTGTTAAAATTTAAGACGATCTGGATGCCTATTGGTTACCCACTCACCGATTTTGACCTGCTGTATCCCAGATTTTTAGCTTCGCATTTAGATGGGGCTCCCAGATAGTCTTTACCAGAAACTCAGCTCCCTCTGTGGGCTGTCCACGCTCTGGCGTTTCGTCCTTTACGTAGCGCGAAATCAGGGCAGTCTTGCCCACATTGGAGGCACCCAAGAGGACAACTTCGTAGTCTGTCGGCTGCATTGCGCTTCTGAGAGGTTCAGTTCTGTACTCATTACACTGACTAATAAAGACCTCCAGTGAGATCTTTGATTTCTCACTGTTAAAGGTTTGCGGCAGTGAATCACATCCTTTAATGATTAACTAGTGGAGCAGTAGTGTGAGCACCACAGAATAATTTAATATGTTCTCTCCAGAGCGCAAAATATATATAGGCAGAGCACTTGTTGCTATCGAGGAAGGTCTACTTTTTGTCTGCTTATTCCAGGGGAGTCCCAATGCTCTAGATACCCCTAAACAATTTTTATACTAAATTCCACTACTCGGTCGATCTTCCACCATTAGAGACAGTCATTATACGATTGGATTGTATTGTATTCCAAATTTCTTGTTATCCCGCTGGGTTTTGTGGTAGTGGGTCGCGGGGAACGCGCCCCGATGCCCTGCCGCGCCGCGCGCCCGCCGCCGCGCCGCTGCCGTCGGCCGGTAGGGCTAGAAACCAAATTTGGTTTCCAGACTCATGTGATATCACACTGCTACAAGTGTATTTCAAATCGCCCCCCCCCCCCCCGCGGGCGGCCGTTAAAGTCGAAAACCGCGGGCCCCAGGCCCTGAATCGTCGGTCTATTTGCCAGCCCCCCCCCCCCCCCCCCCCCCCCCCCCCGCCGCGTTCAGGGCCCCGCGGGGGTGATATGGGAACTGTACAATCTACTGTTAGTGTGTAGCGTATATGTAGTGAGATTCGTGTAGCAAAAAAATGTAAAATGTAAAATTTTTTTTTTTTTTTAATTCTATAAAGTCATAAGCTCGTGTGCATGACGAAGCACATTGCCACCGCTGATTTTGAGAAAACTCAATCCAAAATGATGTTAAATGATATGAACTCAAATGGATACCTATGCTACAATGCTCCTTTAATCTTGTTAGAACTTCTATAGTTTGCTTAAACAGAGTCTAATTGTTTATGTACTCCCACTATATTCTACATACTCAAACCAATTCCTATCTTCAAAAGTAAAAAACATATACAAACAGATTCTATAAAAAGCAAAAGGATCATCTGAGTTCTAAGAAAAACTTTGGTCTAAAATTTCCGATGAGAAGAGATGCTGCCACAGAGCGAGAAAACCACAAAAGATTAAGTGTACTCGTACTATGTCGTTTCATTCTCGATTCAAATCGAATGACTTATTATACATATATAGATGTATATATATATGAGTATATACGATGCATTCGTTTTATTATAAATGTTAAATTTAAATACATACAGACAACATAGAAATTATAGATTTGAAACCAATACGAGTGGGCTGGGCTGGCTGTTCTGTTGGACATTTACCCGATTGGTTTGTGATTGCAAATTACAAAATAATTATGGATAGAAAATTAACAGAATAGATTATTGGGTGGCACGATGATTCAAACAAGAATTTTTGTTGTGGTATATTGAGTGTGGTTCGTTTTGTTTTTATTTAGGTAAAGTATTTCAAGGTTTATTTTTAAAGACTTCACTTTACACGTTTTCTCCCGTTTTCCATCATTCGCTTAATTTCATACTAGATGTAAGTTTTTTTTTATATTTTATTTTTTATGGTTTTACGATAGTTTTGTTTGTTTTTGTTTAAAGATAAATAGCATTAAATCTTCGATTGTTGCTAGAATGTGGAAAAAAATTAAACTCAATGCAAAAAGAAAATACATTTAAAAAAAGTTAAAAATTATGAAATAATTTGTTTTTGTTGGTTTCGTTTTTTTTGTTTCATATGTGTATATATAATTTATATAAATTGCAACTATCACACGTGTCCGTCGCAGCTGGGAGGCGGGGCGGGAGGCGATTCTCCGCACTCCAGAGCCGGACAGACACACACATTGCCACAGATCCGTTGCGGACGAGCGCAAGAGGATCTTCGTCTTCATCGGCCGCTGGATCTGAACATTTTTTTTCTCTTATTTTTTGGAACGCTGCTGAAAACAACTGCAACTGGAATTTCTTTTTTTTACTTGAGAAACTTACACGAAAATGTAAATTTTACAAATATTCTTTTGTTGTTTTCGGTATCTTTTTTTATACAATACATTTTTAAACTTTACTATGCAAACTATGCAAAAACCTTTCCGCGCTGTTTTTTCCATCAAATTGAATTTCGTATTGTTTTTTTTTTTGTATTATAATTATTATTATTTGAAATGTTTTATGGTGTGTTTGTGTGTGGAATTCTGATTAGCACATTTTCTGGGGGGGTCTGTTGTGGGGGCTCTCTAAGCGTGTCAGATATGGAAATCGCTTTCGCTTCGTTTCTAAATGAATGGATAGTGAAGCGGAGCTTGGGGAGGCTTGTTCCTTTTTTTCTGTTTTATATTTAATTTATAATTAATATTATATGGTTTTGTTTTTTATTATAATCTTTCTTTCGGTTCTTATCTCATCACCAATCAATTATCAATTATGAAAATTTATTTTCGTGCCCCTATGAGAGCAGGTTCTTTTTTTTTAGGTATGTGTGTTCTCTTTTCTGTTTTTTTTTTTTTGTTAAATTTTTAAATAATTTTTTTATTTATAATTATCAGCATAAACTTTTCAAATCTCTCGTTGGAAATTTCATTTTCTGGAAGGATAAAAAGGATAATAATTAGTTGCATTATCAGTAGTTAATAGCCCCTTAAAACTAGAGCACATTCGTGGCATCACAAATTTAATACAAAGTTCTAGTAAGCGAACGGAAACATTTGATACGAATGACCCGAAATAAGAAAATTCTCTACGAGCAATTGGATACTTTCTATAACTAAATACGATAAAGATATCGACCGATTTCATAGACATTTGCTTGATTTTGAACACATTTTTGCGTTTCAGATAAATATAGATAGTAATTTCCAATATTATAGGAGACATTAGAAGAAGTATACCGCACTTCTTGAAATTCATATGTATCCGCGAATGTACTGCTTATGAAACTATCCATCCATCCTATAGATCTTTTAGACACTCACCTACAAAGGGACATCACTTGCAGCAGTTGTTCGTCGGTCGATTTGTTTCGTTCCCGTTCGGCCTTATGCTGCTTCCCTGATTGTTGGCGCCATCGTTCTTAGGTAGTTTCTTGGCTATAAATATTATAATTAAATTAGTCATTAAGTTGAGATTATTCAGCAGTTTTAATGGCTTACCAATGGCCAAAAAGATATCGTTGACATTCATGCCCGTCTTCGCAGACGTTTCCATGAACAGCAAACCATTCTCCTCGGCATATTGCTTCGCTTCATCAAACTCCACGACGCGAATGTTTGACAGATCCGCCTTATTGCCGGCCAGCGCAATGACAATGTTTGGTGAGGCCTAAGCAACGAAACATGGGAAAACGTTAGTATTTTATAAGTATTTCTTTTAATATTAGGTGTGGTATCGCTCCTTATATTCATTAATCGTTTAAGGTCTTCGAAAATTAAGATTATTTCCATTCTGTCTTTTTGTATACGGTTCTAGTAGATTAGCCTTTTTCTATGCGGTTCGAGAATGCGGTTTTCAAATATCCATGAAAATTTAGTTTCTTTTAGTTATTATGGTCCAAGGTTTACGCGACTTCTACCTTCACAAAAAAAGAACCTTCTCACTCCCCAAAATGAAACCCCAGTCAAGTGTATGAAAGCAATGAGGCGTGAATGAATGCACGGATGCCACAAAATAAGTTCAATGCCCCTTCCAACTGGGGGCCGCAATTCACAACGACAAAGAGAATTAACAATCATAAATGGCAATAATTCTCGTAAATAAACATATGTATATAAAACATTCTTTTGCACGAGATTGCATTGACCTTGCCCACAGAGACACTCTCTCGATTCCTGGCACACTCACTTGTTTATGCAGTTCCTTGACCCAGGTCTTTGCACGCTGAAAACTATCCTGATTCTGTATATCATAGACAACAATGGCGGCCTGCGCACCTCTATAATACATGGGAGCTAAGCTGTGATATCTGCAGACAGAAAGAGGTAAGGCATTAGGATTTAATTGAAATAAATATAATTTGATATTTATTTAATAGTTACCGCTCCTGGCCGGCTGTATCCCAAATTTCAAACTTCACCACAGTATCCTCTATGCAAATGGTTTGTGTTAGAAAAGCCGCACCTATCGTACTCTCCTGATATTCATGGAATTGTCCCTTGACAAAGCGCAGCACAAGCGACGATTTGCCGACAGCTGATTCGCCCAGAAGCACCAGCTTAAATTGGCAACTTTTGTTCTGAGAGGTTCCATTCGGTCGCTGTGCCGTTCCAGAGCCGGCACCGCCGCTGCGTGGTGTTGTGGCCATGATCAATCCGTGTCGCTTGTCGGGCTCCTCTTTTTTGTGTTGTTTTGGGATGCAATGCAAAACTGTTGATGCGGGGTGTATCGGTTTTATCGGACGGTTCCTGTATTCTGTGTGGTATGACGTACTCCCTCTCAGAGTGTGTGTGTTGCTATGTGGTGTATGTTATCTGAAAAGAGAGCAGGCCACATTATGGATTATTTGTGTCGTGGAAATATGAATAGTCATGTAAGCAGAGTGGCGCCTTTCGTTTACTTAATGACCGGACAAGACTAAACACAAATTTAATTCGATATGTATGTTCCCCCATACCATATGCATCAGCAGGCAGTGACAGAGAACGTACAGAGAGAATGAGAGAGCGCATAGCAATCAATAAATCTCATGGAAATAGAAAGCGAAACGCCCTTAAGGTTGCATTGAAAGCACAAATTGAATTCAATTATCATCATTAAGCCTGTATGACACTCAATTAAGTATCTAATGACACGAGCTGACCAATAGATTGCTATAAAATAATAATAAAATAATCTAATATAATAAATTTATTTAAATCACGATATCCAAATTCTGTCGGCATATTCAAGTGCTAATACAGTCTTAAAACGTGCTTAAATTAGCATAAATCTCTTTATATAGAATTTTCCCAGCATTATCATTAGTATTATTACTGCCCTATCATCTCACATGATAACCCACCCCGTGTTAAGATAATCTAAAAATCCCAAGAACCAGCAAAGATAAAACGACAAAAAAGAAAATGTTCACTGTCAAGAATGTGTTTAAAGATTGTTTGCGTGTCGCTGTTTCAGATTATTGCAACAAACCGAAGCAAAACGACAAAAACGGATAAACAAACAATTAGCAAACAACTAAAAATACTTGCCGGGAAACCTTAAAAATGTTGTTTAAGCGCAATTATTGTTTTTTTTTTGTTTCTTGTGCGCGTTTTGTCTTTAAACACAAATATAAAGGCCTAAAAGAAATAAAAATGAATTCCTATCTGTCTAGGGTTCTGTTATCTCTCTGTTACTCTACCAAATGTCAGCTACTTTGCTACGTTGA